CTAAAGGATTCCGCTGTTTAGATTTATATATTTTAGAGCTGAATACATTCCAAATGGACCTCGAATTCTATTTTTGTCTCTTTCTCCGGACTGGGATGCACAGCTTTATAACTCCAAATTCTGAGAAAACCAACTATGCTATCCTCCACACCATCTGCCGCTTAAGCATACCGTCCTACGTTTGAATTGAAATGAATTATGGAGAGTCAAATATTTGTGGATAACTTATGAACGATACTTGCTTCTCTGTTTTTATGTGATTTCCTCCCCAAAGAGTTGTTCTCTTCGTGGCATTGAGAATCTTTGTAGTGTTTCGTCGATTGCCCGTACGTTTTACGAAACCCAAAGATAATTTTCTCCCGACTTCTACTGAATTCGCGTAAGTAGATGGCGAATTTTGGGCAAAGCCGAGAGGAGTGTCGCCATCGTGACAAGCAAAGGAGTTAAATAAATGAAAGAAAACTAGGAAAGTTGAGTTGTCAATAAGACAGTTTTGAAGCAAATGCGGAATCAAAGTGACTTGGCTGTTGTAGTAGGTGGAGACGTGCGTCGTGTAGTAAGTCGAGAGTACCACAAATGTGATTCGAACGAAAGTGTGAGCACGTTATTGCGTGAGGAGGCACAACAACTTGCCTGTCTGTTAGAAAAGCAATAAATTCACGGTTTTATATGAGTCGCTTGAGTCAAGATGAGTCTACTATGCCTTCTCTGTAAGTAAGTAAGCATCTGCCAGTATTTAACGCCTCATTGTGGCGTCTTTGTCAGCAGAAGATATGACTTTACGGCCGTGGATATTTCGTGTTTTACATCTTAAAAGTACACAATCAGTGCAACAGGAAATAGCGAGCGAAGCCACAGTCCATATCCTCATCGACAATGCGAGTCCAGTTGCTGTCTTCTGAAATTTAGTTGTCAACACATCGAGTTCTTAGAGGGGAAGGGGTGGAGTAGGCATTGTAGTGCTTCAAAGTCTGCAGGCCAGACATCGTCACCCGTGGGAGGATTAGAAATTGTTGATTGCTGGGGAAACACGCTGACACCTACCGTCCCTTATGAAGCCGTCCTACTTGATGTGAGGGTGGGCTACGTTGCATCGCCTTCTCCTGCATCACCTCAGTGCGCTTATTTGTACGATTTCGAGTTGCTGACATGGAAGGTACATGCAAGTCCACAAGTCTGTGTGCGTGTGAACGGGCGCAGTGTCGGAGACCGAGGTGATGGGAGAGAGTGGAACCGACGCACAATTGCACATCCCGAGCGTATGGGTACTGCGAGATGAGTCGGATGACAGTGGCGCCGGCGAAATGTGGTCCAGGGAGTATCACCATGGCATTGGTGGTGACACGCACAACCGATGAGGAGGGGAACTCCGTCTTACACTGCATTGTTATAGCTTAATTTCAAGCGTGGCTACTTGTGCTGCCTACTACAACCTGCAAGTAGTATATTTGTCTGCGCGGCAGATTTTTAATGTTCTGCAATCTGGTGAAGGTTTGCGTGCATTCAGTGAAGATTACATTCAAATCTACCATCTTTAACACGAATGGCTGCCTCAACCTTATCGATGGGTGCAGGAGAGTTGTTTCAGCATCCACTTTGGGTATTCTCTGCGTGACACATGCGCCAATTTGCCAGTGCCTTTGGGAATTCCTCTTTTGTGGCGATTCGTATGCCTACACGCACAGTCTCTGACTGCCCTTTTATCGGTCTCCCACCTGTTCGTCTGGTCGGCTGTTTCTTGCACAACAATTCCAATCGCCTGTCCAAGCACCTTAAGTGGTCCAGTCGTGATGTAGTTGTGAATATCAATGTAATAATGCTTTCTACCATTTGATGATTACTCTTCTGTGCTGGATAACATCCTCCATACAGATAAATCTTGCTCTCACCTCTCAGTGCGAACCATAAAGGAAGTTAAGACGATAGTCGCCTCCTCCTCCTCCTCCTCCTCCTCCTCTGCCTTCACAGTGCTGCCCAACTTAAGATCGTCGCATTATTTAGAGTTGGCTTGGTGAACGACGCTTGTTCAGTCAAGGCACCACACCTTCTAGTAGACTCCTAACCTTGTACTGGTTCTCTAGCTCCTTTGCCAACCCTCCTGGGAAGAAAAGCATTGACGACTCCATTCATCTCCTGGGAGGGGGATTGGTGGCGTTTGCCAAGTGAGTACGCATGCAGTGGAGTTTCTGTGAGCATGCGGTTAACCTCCGAGTTTTATACATCTTTTTCCACTCCACTCATCAGCCCTTTTCAAATGCTTTCATGCCGATGTGAATGACAGCAACAGTGATAAGGAGACTCGTGTCACTGTTCGGTTCTCTTAGACTGCACAGACTCCACGGTCAGGTTGGAGGTGATGGCTTCACATGACAGCTTTCCGCAACACTTATTGACACGAACATTCACCGGCTCTTCCACAACCCCGACGTTGAAGTCTGCCAGTCAGTCTGAAAACGGACTTGTCAAAGTCTCCTTCTGGCTTGATAAAGTTGCTCTTACTTACTCCCTGCATAGTCACCTTTAAAGCCTCAACTGCTTCCATATGGATTCTTTGTTTCCTCAACTTCGTGGGCGTCAAACTTTCCAATCCCAGCTACAGCTAAAGGTCGCATGTCTGAATTTGAAAAACAGTGGTCTTTGAGGCACGATTACTCACCCAACATGCGGAAAAGCATCATTAACTTGTTTTCCTGTCTCATGTAATTAAACAAGCATGTATCCGCTCTATTTAATAGCCTGTTTGCAATCAAGGAACGTCTCACCAGTCTGGTATTTGCATACCTTTTACGTTCCACCAATCACTGCACTCGCCTTGCAAGGTCACGTCTGACCTAGTTACAGGACTTGAGGATATCACCCACTGTTTGTCGTGAGCGTTTTCGTTCCTTCACTGCTGTGTTAGTCTTACCAAACGCTTAATCAATGAAGTTTGTATTCTCTCGTCACCATTTCAACTGCCCTGACTCTTCGCTAAGATAATAACAAGACTTTCTGTGTTAAACGAAATTGAGAGATAGTGAAGCCTCTTTTGATGATAAACAAGCGCTTTACACATTACTAATCGTATTTCTCCTCCTCTGCTCCT